GGCCACGGGTTGGCTTTGCCTAGCAGCAACAACCTCTTGCACGCACGCAAGTGCTAGGCGCTGCCTTGTAGCTCTGGCCTTGCGTGCCGAGTTGCTGCCGAATAATGCCTAGCATCCACCAAGCTGTGTGGCGCGCGCACGCAAGCTGTTGATGTTGCCGCACAATGCTGCCTTCCTCGCACACCCTCCCCGCATTAAGCAACCACAAACTCATGCACGCACATGCTTGCACCTGGCTCGGCAGCAACATGCGGGTTGCCCAAGCAGTCCTGCTAGCCGAGCCTTGGTGCTCAAAGCTTTGAGCTACGATTTTGCTTTGTCTGCTTCGGGATTTTACTCCAATTTTTTGTGTGACTCTTAATTAATTCAAAATTGGATTTTAGAACCAATGTTTGAGCAGTTATGAAATTAAAAAATTGATATAATTTAATTTTAGTGCACAAACCAAAATTATTTCCTTGAACCATTCTTTAATAATTTTGGCTTAACTTGATGTAATAAAAATTGAGGGCTTGTCTCATGATTAATTTGACCAAAAATTAAAAGTAATAATGAGATTTAAAAAATTTGACCAATGGAAGGATAACATTTCATGCTCAAGTATGAACAATTAAGATTTTAATCGACTTTCGAAATGATTAAAACTAAAAATTTGTTCATTATGTATTTTACAAGTTCTGATTCAACCATTTAAAGCATTAAAGATTGACTTTTTAACTATTTTAAGGGTTCAATAATTAGTTTCAACATAAATTTTCACATTACAAGCAATTTATTTGCAAGGATGAGAAATTTGAAGTTTATGTAAAATCGAGAGCTATCCAAATTAAGTAACCTGTTTACAACATAAACATGCTTAATAAGTAATGATGTTGCAGAATATTAATGGTATAATCAAACACATAATCAAAAAATTGCATATCATAATTAAACAAAAAACCCTTCAAAAAACCACTTTCTAGGCTAATTTTGGCTTCTAGAAGGCCATTTTTAATCACTAAGTGGGTAAAGGTCGATTTAAAACATCGATTCTTCCCAAAATTAACTTTTTTGAGTTGAAATCTGGGATCGTAGTAAAAAATTAGCAATAATACAAATTTTATCCAATTAATAACGAGGTCCTAATCTAATTAGGTTGCTAATTGATGAGTGACATTTATGTCGCTCTTAGGACAGTCTTTTCTAGTAGTTTTAGTAATAATTCGGTCCATTTTAGTATGTTTTTGCTATGATCCGCCTAGTTCGAGTATTCTACCTTTGTGGCGCGTAATGTGTACTCATATGGTTTAGGTAGTCAATGCTCCCCTCCCCTTTCATTGTATTACGCCTTGCTTTCCTGTTCCATGATTGCAGGTGTATGCCGTTGATTCGGAGATGGAAGGAACAAGGGAAAAACGGGAAGAAATCTAGACCAGGCAAATGGCGCGGGCGCGCCACCTGAGGAGCGGGCTCGCCACCTTTAGGCGCGGGCGCGCATCCCTTGAGCGCGGGCGCGTTGATGAGCCGGACCAACCATTAAATACCCACTTTGGAGCGGGCGCGCATTTCTAGGAGCGGTCGCGCCATCATTTAAAGCACGGGCGCGCCATTGTTAGGCGCGGGCGCGCCTGTCTGCTGCTGATTCAAATCCCGGTTTCAGCCCAAATTAACAAAAGGGGAGGCAAAACGGCTAACTAGGGACAACATTCTATCATAGAGATATTATTTGAGCATAAAAACCTTAGAGGAGAGCTTTTAAGGAATTTTTCAAGGTTTTTTGTTTTAGCCACTTTTGTATTGAACAATCTTGATAGTTTTTAGTGTAATTTTCATTGCCTATCAACATTAGTTTTACTCTTAGTTTTTGAAGAAGTAATTTTGCAACATTGATGTATGGTCAAGCTTGGAGATTGAATGATGTATGGCTCTTTATTTGGATTTCAATGAAGGTTTTGGTACATTTCTCTATTTTCTCTTGTTTTTATGATTAAAGTTTCTACCTTTGTTAGTTTAGTTGATAAAAACTTTGACTTTCTTACTATTCCATTGGTTATAGTGTTGCTTAGTATGATTGTAGTTGTAGTTATGACAAGTGAGTAGTTTCTTGTTGCTAGGGGTTTGGTGAAGATATGCTTTGATTTTGATGTATGCTAGGCTAGGTTAATTTGGAATATTTGTGATTAAATCTTTCTTGTGCTTATACTTATTAGCCACTCCATGTTTATGGCCATATGCATGTTGTGGTTGAATGACGTGAACTAAATCGTGACGATAGTGCGACTTAGGAATAGTCATTAGGTGATTGATTATTGCATGACCTTAGCTTGTATGCCTTACGAAGATAGTGTGAGTGTATGCTAGCTAGGAAAGCTCTTAATCCCGATAGGTGATTAGAGAGTATTCTTGATATTGCCTTGTATGAGTTGCTTGGGTTACATGTAAACCTATTTTCCGATGCCTAAATCCGTTGAATTCATAGCATGTTTGATCCTCCCCCCTAGTGCTTGTTTTAATTGTTATTCTATCCCCTTTAGTCATTACTTTACCCACCATACTTCTTGATCGAATTAGATTAACATTAGGAGATAAATAACGGTGCTTAATCGTTTCCCTGTGTTCGACCCTTAACTTGCCTCTATGCTCTTTTAGTTGCATGTTTAGGACTACAAATATCATTTGATAGAGGTGTCTTAGTAACGACCTAAAACACCGCCTGTCACTAATCCAAAAATTTAAATCCATTTTAAATCACCTTAATTAATTTTTAGTTGTAAAAATTAAATGCAAGAGACTCTTATACCGCTGTTAGGTTTTGTGGTTTCCGACACCGTATAGAAACAAAACCCACAGAGGATCGCATGAATAATTAATACTACTAAACAACCTAACATGCAATTATTAAAAGCAATAAACACATAAAAACACAAAGAGGGAGAAAAAGAAAGTAAGGAAAAGTCTTCTGATCCTTGAAGCGTGCTTCTTACGAACCCTGAGCACGAACACGAAAGCTCTAGACCTGCTGATCAGTGGCCATTTGGCCCACTTTTCTACTTCGTTTCTTCCCCGATTGAGCCCTTTGTTTGCCCTTTTTCCTCTATTTTAGCTTAGTTTTGTTATTATTGAGCATATTTGTTACTTGGAGTGGTTTTGAGTCATTTTTGGCTCATTTCCTAAGGTTTTATTCCCTCTCCTTTAACCCATTTCAATTTGCTCCTATTAGAACCTTTCCTATGATTTGTGTTTTCCATCTTACAGGTCCTCCCGTGGCTAAGAAAGCAAGGATTGGATGCAAGGATTAGGCATGCTTTGGAGTCAAAGGGATTGGAGCATTAGAGCCCAAAATATGAAGGAAAGAAGAGTTCAGAGCGGGCGCTCTAGATATGGAGCGGGCGCTCTGTATTCCTTGCTGCAGAAAAACCAAGTACCCAACCCCCAGAGCGGGCGCTCTAATGTTGAAGCGGGCGCTCTAGCTCCCAGAATAATCAGAGCATTTTCTGCGAGACTTCAGAGCGGGCGCTCCGTGTTCCCCTGACCGATTTGAACTCTGCTACACGCGTAGGCCGACAGCTCTAATTATTTTACTCTGCACGTGATGCCTAAAATTTTGGGCCTTGATTTGGGTTAGGTTTTAGAGGAGGGTATAAATACCTCTCTTCCTTGTAATTGGGAGGAGAGAGGTATGTAGAGAGAGAAATATTAGAAAATCAGATTTCAGCTTATTGTTTTTTTTTTTCTCTTTCTTTTGCACTTTAGATTAGTTAGGGTTTAGTTCCTCATTAGATCTAAAACACTACTCTTTGTCACTCTCTTTCATTTTCAATCCAAGATTAAATCTTTTGGTATTATTTCTATCCCTACTCTTTATTTATTGCTTTATTTATCTATTTTAATTAGTTTTAGCTTATCTTTAGTTGTTATTTCAAGTCAATAGAATAGTTTAATATCTAAGTTGCCTCCTTGTTTAAACTTGCAATTTCTGGTTTTGATCCTTTATTTTCTTGCTATTAGTATAATATTATCCTTATTTGCTTAGATTTCATGCTATTTAGAATAGATTACAAGTAGACTTAACATATTCTCTTCAAAGTTAACTTCTTTAGTAAAGTTTAATCATCCTATTTTCTGGTTTTAGCCATGTTTCTCTCATTAAACTTAGTTTTTGCTTTTGTTAATGTTCTTGTGTGCTTTGGTATGACCCTTCCTTCTCTAGGCTAGGTTTCTAGCTAGGGGAGGGGGAAATGATGAACTAATGATGAAATAAATGATATGTGGTGCAAGATTGGGTAGATTGAGAAGTTTTGCAATTGATTCCAACCTAGGTTTTAGTTGTTAGGAATTAGAGATTGATCACCTCTAAGACCCTATTTTGTGTTGCATGCTAGTTGCGCGAGAGTGAGCTTGTATGTGATGATGACTAGGTTAGGGATGACCTCGACCACCGAGGCGGGGTTGGGTAGGCGGTGTTTAGGTGAGCCCGAAAGGGAATCCTAGATGTTGGACCATAGGCCCCAATTGTTTGGTTGACCGATTGAACCATTCTTGTTGCCTCTAATTGTTGAAATCATTGTTAGTTAGGAATTCTCCCCTATCCCCTAGTGTTTGCTATTCCTTGATTTTCGAAGTTTTATACCTCTGCTTGTTGCTTGTTAATTTAGTTCTTAGTTTATTTGTTTCCCTAGTAGCTATAGATAAATCCATCAAAAATTTATTCCTCCCTTTTCAATTGACTTATAAGTGATCTAAGCAAGAGACGTTTGACCTTCCCTGAGGATTCGACCCCTCTTCCACTATGCTACCTTTGGTTAGTTTAGGACGTGGGTTTTCTTTTTATTCTTGACTCGACCTTTAGGAACTAACGACACCTAGGGGGCCGATCAAGTTTTGGCGCCGTTGCCGGGGAATGGCAACATTGTTTATTGCTTAGTTATCTTGTTTTTCAATTGTTTTCTACTTCTATCCTTCTATTTTTCATTTATTTCTCCGTTGTTGTCATTCGCTAATTGTCTGCTTAGCTGTGTTGAATGCTTAGAAGATCACAGGGACCACCTACTCACGACCTCGATCTCGACATTGACCGCACTCTAAGGCGAGTGAGGAGACTATTTGTTGAACAAACGGGTGAGGAGGAGGAGTTCTTTGATTCTTCTAGTGATATTTCTTCAGACATGGGGGATGCCAATGGCGCTCTTTTTGGTGACTTTGGTAATCCGGGTAGTCATGAATTGCAATGTGGGATTCTACTTCCTACAACGGAAACAAATTTCACTATCCACCCGCACTACACTCAAATGGTGCGTGGAGATCAATTTTCTGGAGCAGCTCATGAAGATCCGATAGAGCATTTGGACAAATTTCTCGAGACATGTGCTTTAATCCAAACCAACCAAGTCACTCAAGAATACATCCGGATGCACCTTTTTCGGTATTCGCTCACAGGCAAGGCTTATAGGTGGCTCAAAAACCTAAAGCCCGGCTCGTTGGCCACATGGAGAGACACGGCCAAAGCTTTCTTGAACAAGTTCATTCCCGAAGACAAATCAACCGAATTGAGGCAGAAAATTTCATCATTTAGGCAAGAAAGGTATGAATCTTTGGGGGAAGCTTGGGACCGGTTTAAAGAGTATGTGAGAGCTTGCCCACACCATGAGTTTGACAAGCAACTTCTCATCAAGTTCTTCTATGATGGTCTTGACGACATACCCAAGCAAAATTTGAATTCCGGATGTGGTGGACATATTAGCAAGGTGCCTCAAGCTCAATTGGAGGACACCATAGAGGAAGTTGTGAGGTACTATTCTACGAGTGGTGGAAGAAGAAGAGGTGAAGAGAGAGCTTCGGGCAAATTCGAGCTTGATCAAGGTTCACTCAAGGCTCTTATGGAACAAGTCATTGACAAGAAGCTGGGAAATAGCCAAGGGTCTTCATCTTCCTCCACCAATCAAATACACTCTTTCTCTTGTGAGAATTGTGGGGGTACCAACCATGATATATCATATTGTGGTGGTCGAGACCCCGAACATGTAGCGGCAATGGGGTACATGAACAATCAACGTGATAATTGGAGAGCCCCCAATGCCAATTATGGTAATAGATTTCAAGATGCAAGTGGCCCAAGCCACAACACGGGTCAAATGGCTCCCTTTCCAAATCCAAATGCTAGCAATCACCCTAGAGCACCATTCAAGCAAGGACCACCCAACCAATTTCAGAATTTCTAACCCAACCCTTCCATGCAAAATGATCCTAATCAACAAATGCTCATGGAAACTCTCAATAGAATCCAATCAAGCCTATCCGCCATGGATCAAAGAATAACCAATAGTGAGCGAAAAGCGGATCAAAGGCATCAAGAGGTCACCGCACATCAGAAGATGATGGATAATCAAGTGGCTCAACTCGCCGAGAGGGTGACCAATCTAGCCAATGAGAAGCTCCCGGGCCAACCTACTACCAACCCGGCTACCACCCATCATATCAAAGCTATCTCTCTTAGGTCCGGAAAGTCTTATGAGGGGCCTAGGAGTGATCAATCGGAGCACAACAAGGAGGGTGAAGAGCAAGTGGTTGAAGAGGTCAATGGAGATAGCCAAGGTCAAATAATTGACAATAGTGTTGAAGGAAGCATTGAGAAGAAGAAGGGTGAAGGTAGTGAAAAGAGCAAGGAAGTTGGGAAAGACAAGCAACCATCAACATCTTATCAACCATCAAGGTTTGAACCACCACCGCCTTATCCCGAGAGGATTGTTGAGAGGAGATTGAATGACAAGTACAACAAGTTTATGGCTATGCTCAAGTCACTTCACATCAACATTCCATTCCTTGAAGCCATGACTCAAATGCCACCCTATGCAAAATTCCTCAAGGAACTCCTCTCCAACAAAAAGAAGCTAAGTGATGAGTGTATCACTCTTCCTCATCAAGTTAGTGCCCTAGTGCAAAGAACCTTGCCTACCAAGCAATGTGATCCGGGAAGCTTCACTCTTCCGGTCAAGATTGGTGATATGGAGACCACGGGTGCACTAGCCGATCTTGGGGCAAGTGTGAGCCTCATGCCACTATCCATTGCAAAGAAGCTCAAGTTCGAGATGATACCTTCAAGAAAGGTGATTCAATTAGCCGACCGGTCCACAAAATTCCCATGCGGTGAGTTAGAAGACGTTCCTATCAAGATTGGGAATTTGTTTGTGCCTTGCGATTTTGTGGTGATGGATATGGAGGAGGACCCTCATACTCCTCTTATCCTTGGAAGAGAGGCACTCAAGACCATGGGAGCGGTCGTCAATTGCAAAGATAATACCATTACATGTGAGGTGGCCAATGAGAAGTACAAGTTTGAATTCTCAAAGACTTTGAAGCAACCTATGGTAGAGAAGATTTAGCGGGTGGACTTGGTGGACTCCGAACTTGATGAATTGGTGAAGTCTCATGAGGTAATTAAAGACAAGGGTGATGAAGACCTCCCATGTGAGGAGGTGGGTGAAGGAGAATCTTTGTGTGCCTTGGAGGTTGAAAGCCTTGAAGGTGAAACTCATCCCGAGACTCAAGGAGCCGTGGATGAGCTCCCACCGATCCAAAGTGAGTCTAAGGAGGAGAGTTCCACGCCTCCTCCCAAGGTAGAACTAAAACCCCTCCCTCCTTCTCTCAAATATGCTTATTTGGATGATGATTGCTTACATCCTATTATTGTCAATGCTAACCTCGATGACACCTCATTGCAAAAATTAATTGAGATTTTAAAAAAAATATAGGAGTGTTATCGGGTATAGCATTGATGATATTAAGGGGATTAGCCCTAGCTTGTGTATGCATCGCATTCATCTTGAGGATGATCATGCCTCTTCCATTGAACCTCAAAGGCGGTTGAATCCGACTTTGAAGGAAGTGGTTAAGAAGGAAATCCTCAAACTACGTGAAGTGGGGATCATTTATGCTATCTCCGATAGCAAATGGGTGAGCCCGGTTCATGTGGTTCCCAAAAAGGGAGGCATGACCATCATACAAGATGACAAGGGGAATGATATCTCCACCCGCACTGTCACGGGGTGGAGAATGTGCATTGACTATAGGAGGCTTAATAAAGCCACTAGAAAAGATCATTTCCCCTTGCCATTTATCGATCAAATGTTGGAAAGGTTGGTGAAGCATTCACACTATTGTTTTCTTGATGGTTATTCGGGTTTCTTTCAAATCCCAATTCACCCGGATGACCAACATAAAACAACCTTCACTTGTCCATTTGGGACATTTGTCTACCGAAGGATGCCCTTCGGATTGTGCAATGCCCCATCGACTTTCCAACGATGTATGACAGCAATCTTTTCTGATATGATCGAAAATGCAATAGAAGTTTTCATGGATGATTTCAGTGTTTGTGGTTCGTCTTTTGACCTATGCTTGCACAATCTCGAAAAGGTTTTAAAGAGGTGTCAAGAGACGAACCTTGTGTTGAATTGGGAAAAGTGCCATTTTATGGTCGAGGAGGGCATTGTCCTCGGGCATAAAGTGTCCATTAATGGTATTGAGGTAGACCCGACAAAGGTCTCGGCGATAGAAAAGCTACCCCCACCATCATCGGTGACCGGGGTACGTGCCTTCTTGGGGCACGCCGGCTTCTATCGCCGATTTATCAAAGATTTTGCACAAATAGCGAGACCTTTGACGAGTTTACTTCAAAAAGAGGTGGAGTTCAAATTCGATGATGCTTGCACTAAGGCATTTGAAACCTTGAAAAATGCTTTAGTGAATGCGCCTATAGTGCAAGCACCGAATTGGGAACTCCCGTTTGAACTAATGTGTGACGCGAGTGATAATGCAGTTGGAGCAGTCCTTGGGCAAAGGAAAGAAAAGAAATTGAATGTGATCTCTTATGCAAGCCGGACTTTAGATACGGCACAAAAGAATTACACCACCACGGAGAAGGAAATGTTGGCGGTGGTCTTCGCTTTTGACAAGTTTAGACCCTATTTGGTGTGCAACAAGGCCATTGTCTACACCGATCACTCCGCGGTGAAGTATTTAATGAGCAAAAAGGATGCTAAGCCGCGTCTAATCCGATGGGTCCTTCTCTTACAAGAATTTGACATTGAAATACGGGATAAGAAAGGAAGTGAGAACCTAGTGGCTGACCACCTCTCAAGGTTGCCGTTAGACCACCCTTCTTACCTTGACAAAGAGGATCCCATCGATGATGAGCTTCGAGATGACTCTCTTATGGCGATCGTTACCAACACCATCCCTTGGTTCGCTGATATTGCAAATTATTTAGCAAGCGGGGTGGTACCTCATGACTATGATGCTCGACAAAGGAAGAGGTTCTTCAAGGAAGTTAAGAGGTATTTTTGGGATGATCCAAGCTTGTACAAGAAGTGTAGTGACGGTTTGTTCCGGAAATGTGTGGCAAATCATGAGATGGAAGGTATTATGGAACATTGTCATTCACTACCTTGTGGAGGTCATGGAGGTGTCAACAAGACCGTGGCAAGGATCCTAGGTTGCAAGCTTTGGTGGCCAACTATGCGCAAAGATGTTCACAAGTTCATCCTTCGATGTGACCGATGCCAAAGGATGGGAGGAATCACAAAGAGAAATGAAATGCCGCAACAATCAATCTTAGAAGTTGAGCCATTTGATGTATGGGGAGTGGACTTCATGGGTCCGTTTGTCTCCTCATGTGGGAATTTGTATATCCTTGTGGCTGTGGATTATGTGACTAAATGGGTGGAAGCGATACCATCACCCACAAATGACCACAAGGTAGTGTTGAAGTTGCTCAAGAAGATCATCTTTCCTAGATTTGGGGTGCCACGGTGCCTAATTAGTGATGGCGGATCTCATTTCGCCAAGAAACAACTCGAAGCACTTTTGAAGAAATATGGGGTACATCATAAGGTTGGACTCCCTTACCATCCACAAACCCAAGGGCAAGTGGAGGTGTCCAACAGAGAAATTAAGAGTTTGCTCGAGAGGATGGTCAACAAGTCTAGAAAAGATTGGTCCCTAAGACTGGATGATGTACTATGGGCCTTACGGACCGCTTACAAGACACCGATTGGCACCACGCCATATCGACTTGTCTATGGTAAGGGATGCCACCTTCCGGTGGAATTGGAGTACAAGGCATGGTGGGCTGTAAAGGAACTCAACATGGACCTTCACTTGGCCGGAGAAAAGAGGTTACTCAAGCTCAACGAGTTGGAAGAGTTGAGGTATGATGCTTATGAGAGCTCTAGACTCTACAAAGAACAAACCAAGAGGTGGCACGACAAAAGGATTCGAGATCGTGACTTCGAGGTGGGTAACAAGGTTCTTCTCTTCAACTCACGTCTCCGACTCTTTCCCGGGATGCTCAAGTCCAAATGGGTGGGGCCGTTTACAATCACCAAAGTAACCCCCTATGGCTCGTTCGAATTGGAAAATCATGAAGATGGGAGCCGGTTCATGGTGAATGGGCAACGGATCAAAAGATACTATGATGAAGGAGATATTGGAAAGATCGGTTGCCTAATGCTTGGGACGGTCCACACCGTTTCTCCCCCTTAGCTTTATTGCTCGTGACGTAACGTCAAGCTAGGGACGTTAAACTAGCATGCTTTGTAGTATATTGTGAATATTTGTCTTTGAACTATCTCTTTAGTTACTTTTTGTTTTAAGTACTTTGCAAAAATCCGGAGGATTTTTCCCCAAAGAGGGGATGGTTTATGTTGGTTATCGTTAGCCAAAATGCTATAAACCGAAGGGCACGACCTCTTGGCTCAACCAATCAATGGTTGAGTCGGGTACTTAGGTCGCATCCTATAGAAGTACTAACGATTTTGGTTTGAGTGATATTTGAGTGTTTGCAGGTTTGGGAAATAATGCTTTTAAAGCCAAAAATCCGACAGTCTAGAGCGGGCGCTCTAAACAGAGGGCGGGCGCTCTGCATCATTGGGAATTATTCAGAATACTTGAGGCCAAAATCCGAGAATTTAGAGCGGGCGCTCTGGGTGTAGAGCGGGCGCTCTGATTTTAAGGGGGCTAAGGAAGGAAAATTTCAAGAATTTAGAGCGGGCGCTCTGGGTGTAGAGCGGGCGCTTTGAAGGTCCCTCAGAAATTCTACATTTTTGGTGCTAAAATCCGAGAAGCTAGAGCGGGCGCTCTGGTCAGAGAGCGGGAGCTCTGAGTTTTGGGTGAAAAATTGACTAAGTGTGGGAAAATTGCGCAGCTTTAGAGCGGGCGGCCT